ATAATAAACTTGCCTTCAGTGTTGATTCAAGACTTCATTCACTTACTCAAGTGGGTAAAATTTTAGTTACAATCACACAGATTATGGTAATTTTCTCATACCTATTTTAGCATGATTTTTGCAATTAAATTACACAGTTATAAGTGTAAATAAAAATACATATACAACTAAAAATAAGCAAAAAAAACAAAACTGGATACTAAAGTAAACATGCAGGGCTGGCTCCACTGGGCAGTGGTTAAACACCAGGCATTGAGAGCCAGATCGCATTTGGCCAACTAGGGCTTGAATCCCAGGCTCTGAGGCTCGAGAAATTTACCAGGGGCGTGTGTGCATGCCCCAAATCCTCATGGGATGGAAAGATGGAGGAAAAAGAATTGCAGGATGAACATGCCTCATTGTGGGGAACTTTTTCTTTTTCTCTCTCTGGTGAGTGCACATGCCTTTTTGCAATTAAAAAAAAAGCAATAAATAACTAAATAAAAATGAACATACAAATTCAATGTATAGGGGCTGGCAGGTGGCATGGTGGTTAAGGGCGCTGGACTCCCACATGGCTAACCATGGTTTAAGACCCAGACCTGGCAACTTGCCTTCTCACTTTCTTTCTCTCTCTCTCTTCTCTTTTGCTTGCTCTGTCCCTCTCTGGTCAAATAAAAATAAATAAATAAAAATAGAGAGTCAGAGCGTTAATGGGACAAAGAAATGTGGTATTATCTCTTGAAGATAATTTTATAGTATTATCAACTGGACTAGGGAGAAATGTGCATGTGTTGGAATATTCATATTCATTTTGTAAGCTAAATAACGTGATTGGATGTATAAAAGAACAAGAAATAATAAATAAATATAAATAAATAAATGAAGTTAAATGATTCTTAAACAAATTCAATGTACAAATATAAAAAGGTATATATAAAATGTTAATATATAAACTGCAAATTTATGGGAACCTCACATAATTACACACACCCATAAATGTGTTTGTACACACACCGATATCTACATTATTTCTAAGAATCTTGAAAGACAAAATGAATTTTTTTACATGTTCAAACCAAATGTTGGAAAAATTTGCAAATGTGAAAAGAAGCCTATCAAAAGCCACCGCTCTGATGTATATGCCCCAAGGCCCCGGTCGACCCATCTCTACTTCTGGTGGAGGTCCCCGCCTCCATAGCACCACACAGTGACTTGTGGTGTCTGTCGTAAAGATCGTGTTGATTTTAAACACTCAACTGCACGCAATATCTGAGGGAAATGAAAACGTGTTTACATTAGTTTCAGCTTTCCGAATCTTATGATACATTCTAAGTCTTTAATCATGGCCAAGTGTTATGATGATATGGTTCAATTCATAAACTATAGTTATTATTTAATTACCAAGTGGCACATGCACTGGCCAGAGAGGGACAGAGATAGAGGAAGAAGGAAGAAAGCAACCCCCAATAAGTTATAGTCACACGGCAATCCCTTCTCCTCTACTTCTCCATCCAATTGGGATTTGGGGCACGCATACACACATGCCCAGTCTGCTTCTCAAGTCACTAGAGTCAGGATTTGAACTGTGGTTGGCTCAGTAAGATCTAGCTCCCTTAACCATTATGCTACAAGGCCAACTACCGTTGACCATAATATTTTATTAGCAATAAGACCCCTCGCTTTCATCATTCTGGAAAAATAAAGGTTTACTTTAATGACCAAAGCAATGATGAATATTTAATAGAGCATACTTCCTAAATTTCTTTTGATTCTGTACACATCTTTCCAGCTCCCCGATCCCCACAGCTTAAAATCCTGGACTACTTTATCCTATTCTTCTGCAAGAGCTTCCCATCTTCTCTCCCTGCAGATGCTTTCAGGCTGCTCTAATCCATTCTCCACATCATGTCTAGCTTCATCTTTACAAAATGTACATCAGATTATATCACAGCATAAGCCTAAAAGTTCAAAGACTGCCTGTTGTTCTTCCTGAAATACATGCCTCTCATTTAGCCTTTGCCTCTGTTTTGTACCACTCTGCTCCATCACTGTCTGCCTCTTCTCTATTATCAAGTTTTACAAAGTTTTTAATTCATGTTAAATGTATGTGCTCATCACCAACTAAAGCATAGATTTTGTACATGAAGTACCCCCACCTAAAACATTCTTTTCCCCTCTCCTCCCACCTTCCACCTCCATAAACCCAATAGATCCTTCAGTTTAGACATCATATCTTCAGAATCATGTTCTTAACACCATATGGTGCTTTTTTATATTACAATACATTTGGTTAACATCAGTATCTTTTACTATTATGTAAGCTCAGCTAGGCAAAGAGATCCCGCTGTTTTTTTCTGAAATGAATTTCAGAAAACAAACAAACAAATGATATAATGTGGCTTGCCTACATACTACTTGAGTTCGTGTTGCATTCACTGGATTCCTTTCTTAAACTGTTCACAATCTACATGCTTCTTTTAGCAAAGGTCCTAACACAAAGCATCTCTTGGAAGGTTCAGAGAATGATTCACCAATAAAAAATATTAAGTGACTTTCCGTAGTGTCCTGAGATGTTTTTTTATAGAAGCCTGGCCGGTAAACAATTGTTGGTAGACTCATATGCTCTGTCTCATTGCCTTTTAATTTAAATTTCCTTTTTAGGAGGTGTTTTTAATATCATTGGAAGTGCAGAGGTCTGTTGTGAATTTATATAAAATCAGTCTACAAGTCAGTGATTTATGAAGAACACTGACTTGATGATGGTTTGCAACATTTTTCCCTACTAAGAGAAGACCCATGCTGGGAAAAATAAAACATCCCAATTCTCATTAATGGAAACAGCGCTGAACAGACAACTGTAGCTGTTGAAGGATACTGAAGCTGCCAGGAAATTCTAAAAGCAAAACCAAGGTTGGGCTGGCAGATCAATGTGCCTTTCATGTGCAATCCTGAAATATAAAACCATGGAATAACTGATGTTAGCAGACACTTTTGTCAATATTTATTTAGGCACTGCTATGTTGTATATCATAGAAGAGATTAAATAGAGGATACTCCCTTTACAGAGCTATCTCCCACTGAAGATGAATATGCACGCTGCATACATAGCTTCCAATCTGCAGAGATGCACTTGAGCATCTCCTTCTCAGGAATAATGAACCTGCATACTTCCTCCATTATGAGAGAGTGAACCTGAACAAAATTTGCTGAACTAATTAATGTGTAGAATATATAATGCATTTATACCAAAGGAGTCACAAATTGGATTTAAGCCATCCCCAAAGGGTCTCCCTGGCTTTATCCAGAATCCATGCAGGTAATAAACATTTGCTGAGTACCTATTATATGACTTTTTTTTTTTTTAAGATCATGAGCCAATGGAGGGCCTTGGGGGAACACCCCTGGAGGGAGCATCACTCACCTAGATACCTCATCTGGTGAGGAGCACAAATCTGCTTTCCACCCCAGTTCAGATTTATTCTACTTTAGTCAGTGCTTCCTGTGCCACACACCTACAACAGCTTCAGGTAAGTTCTCAATATTGCTCTCCTCAAAAATAGTTCACATCTTGTCATCTAGCTTCTCTCAGAGTGTGGACCTCACAATGCTTCTGAACAATATGGGGTTGTATCGACAACGCAGGGTATATACAATATCTTAAGGAAAGCCATTTAATTTTAAAAACAGAAAGAATTTATATAAAGGTAACTGCATTATAAAACACAGTAGGCCATGTAATATAGAAAGAGAAGTGTGTTAAGCTTCTTGAAGAAAGCTTTTCAGTTTTTTTCTTTTTTTTGTACAAAGCAGGCCATTGCCACATCTTGTGAAAAGGTAAGATTCTTTTATTTATGTATTTTTTTTTTTGAGAAGTTTTTGCTATAGGGCGCATGTGCTTGCCAGAAAGACAGAGAAACAGAAAGCAAGAAATCATCCCCCAGGGGAAATAGCCAGGCTGCAATCTCTTCTCCTCCATTCTCCTCTCAGGACCTTGGGCATGCACACACATGCGCCCGGTGTGAGTTTAAGCCACTGGGTCTAGGACTCGAACTGTGGTCGACTGCATGGGAGTCCAGAGACATAGCCATTACACCAACTGCTGATCCCAAAAAGGTAAGTTTCTAAATTAGACTGTTGGCATTTATTTTGAAATCCAAAAAATCAAGATGACCTGTTTCTGTCCCTGCATATAATCTAAAAATTCTCTGGTCATGAATGGGAACCTTACTTCTACAAAAGCACCAACACTTAGCAAAACCATTATGATAAAGGTTGTCTGTCCGACCCATTTAACTTCTCATTGGGCACTCAGCTAGACACCTCCCCCAGCACCATATTCATCCATGAATAATAAATATTTATTGAGCACCTGCTATCTGCCAGGTATTGCTCTAGGCACTTGGGAGACATCACTAGGAAATCAAAACAACCGTGACATTTTCCCTCATTTTTCTATTCAAACCTTTTCAGTGAAGGACTGTAGCAAAAGAGATAATGAGGTAGACAACTGCGTTACTACTGCCCTCCTGAAAATGCCATCATTTCATGGCCCTGTTAAAAGCTCTGTTAAAATTCTTCCAGCAAGCAACTGATTGAGTGGAGAATGTCCTCTCTCCTCCTACACATGTCCCCCTGCAATAACCTCGGCAATTACTTAATGCTTAGGTGCTCCACTTAGTTCCTGTAACCTGCTTGCGCAACCTTCCCCTTCTAGGAGTGGGATGCAGTTTTGCCTTCTTAAACCCCTCTCCCCACTTCAGGGCTTCGAGGTTTTTGAGAGATGTGAATCCTCCCGTAGCGCCAGCCTTGAATAAAGACTCCTTTAATTTGGCCTTAGATGTGGCGTCTCCTTCAATTTCACTGTGTACATCCTAACAGGACTACTCTGGGTCTCAAACTACAGTAGGCATTTGAAATAGTGATGCAGAAATTTAACACGGCATCTGTCTAAAAGCAAAGCTGCTTACAAGTATGACAAAACTAGGAAGTAGACCTTGCTCATGCACCATTTCTCTTACCTTGTAAGGAATTGAAGATGGAGAAGAGGTATGTGAAAGGGATATTTAAGGGTCCCCAGGCAAAGAAGGCAAAACCCCATGTCATGCCCAGCAGAAACGTCAGGCTAACCACACTGCGTAAGTTCCTCAAAATCTCTTCTCGCAGGGTCCGGTTGCTTCTCTTGCCATTTCTCCCACAGATCTGCACCATTACCACGATGAACATGGCAACATTCAGAAAGAACATGACTCCAAAATAGCCAGCAGAGGTCACATAAAATATGACTGCATCCTGAATCCAACAGCTTAAAAAAGAAGAAACGAGGGGGAAAAAAGAGAGAGATGTATTACCAAATCCTGTTTACCTAAGATTTTTCTTGACTTAATTTGGACTCCTGCAAATTTCTCTCTGTAATGTCTTTACAATGTCACTTCACTTTCTTTGTTTGTTTGTTTGCTTGTTTTGTTTTTTTGTTTGTTTGTTTGTTTGTTCGAGCGCATTTTGCTATAGGACGCTTGCACTTGCCAGAAAGACAGAGAGAGACAGAGAGACAGAAAGTAAGAAATCACTCCCCAGGAGGGATGGCCACACTGCAATCCCTTCTCCTACATTCTCCTCTTGGGATCTGGGCACACAAACACACATGCCTGGCATGAGTTTAAGTCACTGGGTCTAGGACTTGAACCATGGTTGACTATATGGGAGTCCAGCGACATAGCCATTACGCCAACTACTGACCCCTCTTTTTTTTTATTTTCTTAAGGTTTACTCATTTATTTCTTCCATAAATGACAGAGACAAAGAGACAGTACCACTTCCTGGGTCTTGATGCCACAATCCATTCCCAGCCTCAACCAGCCTTGAATCACAGCACCCCATTTGTCACACTCAAGGAGGTTTCCAGATGCAAACCTAAGCCTTCCATGTGGGTCAGCCTTGCAGAGCTTCATGTTTTACTGCTGAGACACCATTCAGCAATCTGGGAAAGTTATTCTTGATAGACTCGACTAGCAAGGCCCTCATCTCCTTCCTGCTTCTAACATGAACGTGGCTATGGAGCTGCAGCAGCCATGCTATATCCATGGAAGAGAGGCCAAGAGGGCTGTAGAGTTGTTGGCCCTGACATTTTCAGCCACAAAATCAATGCTAGTAGGTGTGTACTTCCATGTATCTTGTCATGCGTGAAGAGTAAGGTCCTACGTAGCTAAGTCATACATGATTGTGGGTTCACTACTATAGACTAAGTAATTCCTATTAACACAATTGGTCTAGTCAAGGAAAGAGTCCCATGAGATTCTGAAACAAATATTTCTCATGTATAATTACAAAGCTTATATTGATTATAAAACCTTGTAAGATAAAGAACAATATAACTGACAATCAGAATGATATTTAGATCAGATAAGAGATGAAGGAAATATTAAAACTATGCCATGTTCAAAGCATACTATGGGTAAAGTTGACAAATACTACAATTTGCATGTGCCTTAGTTAGTAATTAGTGGTTTAGAAATGTTTAGGTACCTCAAAAACTAAATGAAAGATTTAAGGTGATTAAAAAAATTCTAACATAAATGGTCATCATTCTGAGTATGTTTTCCACAGTTGAACATAACTTTCACAAAGGCAAAAGCTGTCTTGAAGACTGGTACATGTCATGGAGGTTAAGGCACTGGATCCCACAAGGTCAACTGTGTGGTTCAAGTCCCAGATCTGGCAGCTTGAAAATCATGCTGAGTGCATGTATGTGAATACATGCTCAAAATCCCAAAAGGAAACTGAAGGAGATGGTATTGTGGTGTGGCCACCCTCCTGGGGGGGGTAATTTCTCAGTTTCCCCCCTCTCTATCTCTCTTTGGCAAGTGCATGCACCCTATAGCAAAACAGGAAGAAAAAAAGAGAAAGGAATAAAGATAGGAAGGAAGAAAGAAGGAAAGAGAAAGAAAGAAGAAAGGAAGAAAGAGAGAAAAAGAAAGAACGATCAGCTGTCTTGAATCCCGTTAACTCTTGGAACCTACATTGTTGGCCTCTGGTACATACCAATGACTCAATGACTGTCAGTAGTGGCATAGTAATTTACTAAAGAGTACTTTAAAGTCCTGTAATAGTTGCCTAAGGCGATATTTAAATTTCCTTGTGTAGAACTTACACTTTAGTTTCTACTCCTAACATACCATTTTATAAAAGATTCCCAAAATAGTACTGCTTGTCCTTGGAGCTATCTTTTCTTTTCTTTCTTTTTTTTTTTTTTGGAGAGGTTTTTGCTATAAGGCACGTGCACTTGCCAGGAGGACACAGAGAGACAGAGAGACAGAAAGTGAGAAATCACCCTTCAGGGGAAATCGTCACACTGCAATCCCTTCTCCTCCATTCTCCTCTCAGGATCTTGGGCATGCATGCACACATGCTTGGAGTGAGCTTAAGCCACTGGGTCTGGGACTCAAACTGTGGTTGACTACATGGGAGTCCAGCAACATAGCCATTATGCCAACTGCTGGTCCCCTGGAGCTAACTTTTCTTTACATAGAGAAGTTCCTCTAAAATTTTGGAATTCCTGACCTACATCCATTATTTTTTTCCTAGTTCTTCTGGGATCTTCTGAGTGCTGCTTAGCTTACTTTTATTGAGAGAGAGAATGATGGGGGCAGTAAGGGGAGTTACCCTGACAGGGTCTCACCTTGCCGCTATTCCCTTCCTCCAGTCCTCTAACTAGTAAGGATCTTGAGTGTGCATACACCTGGTGTGTTTCAGGTCAGCCTCATGGTTGGACATGTGACTTTCAGCATGGACCAGAAAACAACCACCTGCACCAAAGTAGCTAGGCTGAATACTACTTCAGAAATATAAAAGAAGTGAAAACTATGAAGGAATGGACACAGGCTGGGTATGAGAGAATTAATTGCTCAAACTGAACAATGTGAAACCTTAATCTCATTGATCTCATAGTCTGAAGACAATTTTCCAACTTATTCAGGAACTCAATGATTTCTCCACTCTCACATTTCTACATAACACTCATTTTGGCACTGAATCACTCCCTGTCTGCTACAGCTATTTAACTCTTTCGAAGATGTGTGTGGGTTTGAAAAGGTGGGAGTGTTATGGAATCTCCTCAAATAGAATGGGTCTACTAAGGCTAGAGGATAGTACCTTAGGCTTTTTCTGAATTTTCCCAGATGACAGAGTATAATTTTAATCTGGAAAAACAGCTCAAGAATTTCAGGGCATTCAACTGAATTTATCTGTGGAGTAGCAGAGACAGACCTTGGCAATGTCACGTGAACGAACTTCAGCCTCTTAAAAAGAAAGCCTCAGGGACCAGTAGTTAGCGTAATGGCTATGTCGCTGGACTCCCACATAGTCAACCGCAGTTCGCGTCCTCGACCCGGTGGCTTAAAACTCATGCTGGGCGCATGTGCGTGCGTGCCCAAGATCCTGAGAGGAGAACAGAGGAGAAGGGATTGTGGCGTGGCCATCCCCCCTGGGGGGTGATTTCTCGTTTTCTGTCTCTCTCTCTCTGTCTGTCTGGTGAGCGCATGCGCCCTATAGCAAAACAACCTCTCCAAAAAAAAAAAAGCCTCAGTATCACATGGAAACTTACACCAAATTTTAGAAAACAAAGGACATACGCCCATTACAAATCCCAGAAAGTTTTTATTACGTGTCCCGGACCCGGTGGCTTAAAACTCATGCCGGGCGCATGTGCGTGCGTGCCCAAGATCCTGAGAGGAGAACAGAGGAGAAGGGATTGTGGCGTGGCCATCCCCCCTGGGGGGTGATTTCTCGTTTTCTGTCTCTCTCTCTCTGTCTGTCTGGTGAGCGCACGCGCCCTATAGCAAAACAACCTCTCCAAAAAAAAAAAAAAAAGCCTCAGTATCACATGGAAACTTACACCAAATTTTAGAAAACAAAGGACATACGCCCATTACAAATCCCAGAAAGTTTTTATTACTTACAATTCATCACCTTTTTCTTTTCCATAAATTCCTTTTCCATAGACTTCATTTTGGTGTCTGCTCGCTAGGACAACCGCCACCACTAAGGCAGGCAAACCTGTTACAAAACACCATGACATAAACAACTCTTGTGAAGCATCTAGACATGCTTTGTAAGTCTGATAATGGCAAGGAAAATAAAGGAAAGAAAAGAAAAGAAAGAAAACACTCAATATCTTCTTAGAACTGACTACTAAGGTAAAAATGATAAAATTCCTTCCTTGGTGTGAAACATCAAACTCCAACTGGCAACAATCAAAACCTACTCTCAAATGATGGATATTTATTTAATTACCTTTTTTTTTTTTTCATATAGCATGAGCAATCACTAAGATAGCCAGAAGGAAAGTGAGAAATCATCCCCTAGGGAGGAGCCATGCAACCCCCTCCCCTCCATTCTCCTCTTGGGATTTTGGGCACACATGCACGTGCACCCAGCATGATTTTCTTTCTTTTTCTTTCTTTCTTTCTCTCTTTCTCTTTCTTGTTCTTTTTGAGATCAGCTCATTTATTATCTTTATTTTTTTCTAATTGTTTTTTTCTTTAATCCCAGCTTTATTTCCAAGCTGCCAGGTCCAAGACTTAAACCAAGGTCAGTTATGTGGGAGTTCAGTGCCCCAACCATTATCATCTGCTGGCCCCAAATGGCAGATATTTAAATATTCTGTTTGCTTGATGATACCTGCTAAACAACCCAGAATCTGATTTTTATTGTATTCAGTATCAGCACATGTGGCTTTATTAAACTATTAACATTCTGGCAGACAAGGTAATTGCAGTTTTTTGTTTTGTGTTTTTCCCCCTTTTCCATGTAAAGAAGAGTCTTTAGAAAAAGTATGGGGGGGAAACAATGAAGTTATAAAATATTTATAGTCTTCTCTTTTTTCTCAAGGGAATCATTAAAGTATTTCCATGTATATTTCAGTGGGGAAAGACGTTCTCACCTTTCCTGAAAGATGTGTTTGTGGCTCCCTGAGGTGGTGTAGGTATCTTGGAAATGTCTGACACGGCTACCCTGCATCCGAAACATTGAGTGGGAAAGCTCTAAAATGCCTGGCTTGATATGAAACTCAGAAGAAGAAAGGAGCCCAGGGACCAGCAGATGGCGTAATGGTTACGTCACTGGACTTCTACGTAGTTGACCATGGTTTGAGTCCTGGACCCAGTGGCTTAAAACTCACTTTCTTTCTGTCTCTATTCATTTCTCCAGTGAGCAGACATGCCCTGCAGTAAAAATCTCTCTCTTAAAAAACGTAATAAAATTAAGAAGAAGAAAAAAGAAGAGCGCAACGAGAAGATTCCAAACAAGCTCACACAATCATCTATGTCTGACTAAGGTTCACATTAGAAAGTTCAAGGCAAGATTCCTGTAGGCATTCTTGTTCACACAGAAATAACATTCTTCCCCTGGTTTCCAAGACCCGGAGACGTGTCTAGGGATGAGAGGCTCTGAGTCTGGGCTGGCCTTTCTAGTTTGAAACATAATGGAAATGCACCACTGTCTGCCAGGAGCTTCTTCAGACTTGGGTGGGCTGGCTCTGGGCTCAGGAAATAAGTTCGTGGTGACTCAGGAGCTGGGGTGTTTCCTTGACTCCTAAGGTTAGTGAGTCCTGC